ACAGTGTCTGGAGGTGTTTGCATAAAGTATACTAATATTTCCTCTGCCAAATAGCTGCTGGAACTTCATTACTTCTCACACTGTATGCTAGTTTTTTTAAAACTATAGGGAGATGTTGCTCATGCTCTAATTTTACTGATCCATCACTTTAAAGATCTCAATTAATTTTACGAGGACAATCATTTCACAGTATCTTCCCTCACCCCACCCCTGATCTTCACATGGCAGAGATAATTTGTTATGGAGCCATTCATGGTCATACGGAATTCACTAATTTTTAATCAACAATTTTAAGAACTTGGTCATCTCTGTGATTATTTCATAATTCTTTAAGTTAGTTATATGGTTCGTAATTACTGCATCCACAATCACTATTAAAAACCTTTCTCAATTATATGAGCTTCATGTTCAGGTTATTGTAAGGTCATTCATTCTTAGCTCTTTGGATAAGCCAAAGATATTCTAATCAATTTAAGAGTGTGTGTGTGTTTGTACAGTATGTGGGGGAAACATGCCTTTCTGATAGTGTTGTCTTTGCCAAAAGAAGAGCCCATTCTGCCCTCTTTGGTATACATCATACATTTATTAGTGAATATCCCTCTCAAAATCAGCCACAACATTAAAAAAAATAATGATTGCACTACTTGGTCAAGCAGAACTAGCAACTTTCATTTTAAAAAAAGTACAAATCTGTTAAAAATTTCAATCAGTATAATACACATATATAATACAACATACTAGTTATGTTAAATGCTACAAACCAATATGATTCCAATGGAATGGAATAAAACAAAACAAAACACTTTAGAGATTTAAGATATTTTTTTCTTCTCTATATATTAGCCTTTTTTTTTTCCAAATACATACATGGGAAAAATGAGGTAACTGTAAATGTGCAAGTAACAGAGCAAAAAAAATTATATATATATATATTTATAATATATATAATATATAATATATATATATATATAAACTTTCTAACACAGAACAAATGCCCTGGTGCCCTACAGGGAGGCCCCTCTCCTTGTAGGTAGGGTGAAGCTGAGCTATCCTTCTGGAGGGCACGGGGACTGGTATAAAAGAACAGTAAACAGCCCACTATCCCACCACAGGAAATCATTGGTAAACAGTGGCATCTACAGCGCAATCAGCAATCACAAACATCCTAAATAAATGTTTTAATATTTTTTTTGTTTTTTGTTTTTCATGATAACTTTTAGCTGCTCCTTGGAATAAATTCTGCAGCACACGAGCTGTGAGCTTTCGAGTCACCATCAGAAGAACCGTAAGGCTTTCCTTCCCTCCCCACCTCCAAATAACCTTTCTGAAAAGATGGCGGGGGAAGGAGAAGAGACGCTGAAAGAGATGGGCATCGGCACTATTCTGATTGGCTATAAATATAGAAACACCTCCCGTGTTTGTTTGTTTTTAACTTTTTAATATATATGTACAGTAAAGACCTTTGGTTATTTGTATCACATGGAATAAGGGGTTGGTTCCCTCTCTCTCCCTTCAAAAGCTGTGAAACAAGGGGGAAAGGCTGGGGAAGAGGTGGGTCTGACACAAGGCACTGGCTCGACATGGCAGGAGAGAGGGAGCGTGACACATCACGGGAGGACCGGGGAGGAGAAGCTGCTGGTGTCTGTGCAGTTGGAGAGGATGGCAAGTGGCCCGTTCCTTGGTGTTTGCATGTACCCGGGCCAAGACCTGGCTTAGATGTCCCACTGCAGCTAGTCTTCCCCCCCTCTGAAAAGGAGGAGGGGAAAGAGGAAATTCTTTATTGGGGGGTATCCAAGAGCGGATGTACCGTAACTTGCATCCCCTAAACGTAAGTGGGGTGAGTGGAGCAGGAGGAGAAAGAGGTCTAAAAAGTAGCATTGATCTTCATCGTAACAAATGGAAACCATTGATTGTTATTCAAGAAGGAAAGCTGGGACCTGCCCAAAGCTTCTAATTCATTGATCAATCTGCACGCCCGCTGCTATTTTCAAATAAAAGGAATGCCAGTCTATCCATCCTGCCTTGATGTGTCTTTGCAGGAACTAAAGGTCTGAGGACTGTTGTAGGTGGCCCCTCACTTGCGACCATAATTGGGGCTGAACTTCCATTGTTAAACAATGAGGTCGCTGAGTCACACCTACTTTTACAACCTTTTTTGCCATTGTCATTAAGTGACTCTGGCTATCTCCATTGACTTTGCTTGTCAGAAGCCCGCTGGGAAGGTTGCAAGTGACCCCAGGACACTACAACCATCGTAAATACACGCTGGTTACCAAGCATACAAATCGTGCTTAATGACTGCTGGGGTAACACAACAGTCATTGAACATGAGACCTGTCATAAAGTCCCATTTTTCAGCTTCATAGTTAATTTCAAACGGTCATTAAACAAATGGTTGCAAGTCAGGGACGAACTGCATTATTCAGCACTACTACTGTCACTTAGGACAAAAAGAGCCACAAAACACAGCTTGCTAGCGTCCCTCTCATTTTCCTCCTCCTTGCACCCTGAGGATCGCCTCTCCTTCGCTGAGGGAAGACTCTCAACAACTGCTGGGGAAGAAGCTGGTCACTTCACCAGACATGGCTATCGGAACGAGTGGCAAAAGGCCAACTGGCCTCAGTCACATCCCCAAGTTTTTCCCCCCCTACTTTAGAAGTAAATATTGCTGAGAGCTGGCATGTTCAGAAAAAATTGACAACTACATGGCATCAGAGCCATGTCCCTCCAGTCACCATCCATGTTCAAAGTGGACATAGAAGCTGCTCTTCCCATTACTAGCCCTTCCCTGCTCTTGGCTGATGGAGCCCCCTCTCAGACTTGTGGGAAATCACACTGCCTAAACCTGTTCCCTTGTCCCTGTTCCCTTGCATCCGTATGGCCCTTAAGTAGAGCCGTGCTTAGCTATTCCATAAATTCATCAGGCCCTCTTACCAAGAACAATTGGATGTCAGAGCGCAAGGAAGATAGTGCACTTCTCTTCTCTAGAAAGGCTCAGTGGATGCTTCCTGGCTTTGGCCTTAGGATCCCTTGCAGTCCCTTTTCCTATTTGTTGCTTCCATTTTGAAGGGAAAGAGCTGAGATTTAACTATCAGTCTACCATTTGGAAGAGTATCACTGAGGGAGGCCAGAAGCTGCCATCAAACTCAAGGATAGCACAAACTACATCACCTTGGGTAGGCAGAGACCAATTAAGACACTGCCAGACTTATCCTGGAGCATTACTAGTTGACACAGGACAAGACAAACCAGGCAAGGGAGGAAGGGAGGAGGAGAATGAGTGGTCAGTAGGTCCCTTTTCTCCTACTTCTGCAGCACCATGAAGGAGAAAGTGACCCTGCCAGAGTCCTCCTTCCAAGGCAGCTATTAAATCACAAGAGATCTTTTCCCTAAGCCTTGCAACTCTACCTCAAATTAAGTCCACTAAACTCTGTGTGTGTGTGTGTGTGTGTATGTGTGCACATCTTTTAAGTCAGCGTGGACTCCTGAAGAATGGCTGGACAAGGCCCTGCAGTTTTCTTGGCAAGATTTCAGAAGTTGTTTGTCACTGCCTCTTTCCTTGGGCTAAGGAGTATGACTGGCCCAAGATCACCAACCTGGCTTTGTATATAAAGCAGGACTAGAACTCACGGTCTCCCAGTTTCTAGCCAGATGCCTTAACCACTACACCAATCTGGCTCTCTACTAAAACTATGCTGCCTCCTAACCCAGCCTGGTTTCAAACCAATCTCTAATTTGGAGGGGAAGGAGGGGAGAGAGAAATGCCCTGAAAAGCGTTAACGGTCCTTGTGAGGCGTTGCGGACATGTGCAGTACAGTGCATGGCAGTAATCAGCTGAGCACAAAGAACCCCCTCATTCCCACCCACCCCATCACCCCACAGCTGGCTAGAGAGATAGCCAATACCAAGTTCCAAGCTGGTCATAACATGCATGCATAATTTGTGAACATTTACATTAGATTTTTATCATCTTCTCTGATTCTTCCAGGCTTCAGACACAAACCAACTAAATGGCGAGGGCTTCTCTCTTATTCCATGGTATAATCATGCAAAACAATTTTTTTTAAAATTTATTACTTTTACGATAACAGGTTTCTGTAACAGGGTGGCAGGTTGGTTGCTTTCTTGCTTCAAATCAGCAGGTGTTTTAGGTAGGAGTGTGTGTGTATGTGTGTGTGTGTGTGTGTGTGTGTGTGTGTGTGCGTGTGTGCGCGCAGACACAAGAAGGCACACAGCTTTGAGTGTCGTGGCCAAATCGGCCATAGTTCCTGACCGAGCGCACAAGCATCAGGCCATACAGAAAAACTCATCAGGATGAGCATCAGTAGGCCAAATGTGAAGAGGAAGAATGGGGGGGGGGGTGGGGGGTGGGGGAAGGGAGGTTGCTGAAGGGACGAAATTAAAAAAGATAGGGTGAAAAGGCCTACTTGGCCCTACAAAAGCTGATGCAGCACTGCATACAGCCTCGTGGAGGGAGGAACGATCACCAGAAAGGCTTTCTCCGTAACAGCTAGTGCAAGGGTAAATAATAAGATAAATAATTCCGGCCTGCTCTCTCTCTCTCCGCCCAGGATCCTACCACCGAGTCCTCCGGAGCTGCCCAACAGCTCTCAGGGCTTAGCCTGGAGTCAGGACAGAGAACTGAGGAAGGGTAGTTGAAGGCTTCTGCCTCAGTCTGCTGAGCATCTCACCCTCCCCTACACTAGGGAGAGAGAGCGTATGCAGGCCGTCTGCCGGGATGCTCAAAAAAACCGGATGGGAGGAGAGGCGCTTTCTGGAGATGGATGCTGAGAAGAAATACCAACCCAAAGGGGTCCGAGTGTGCAAAGGGAAAATAAAAGGAAGACACATCAATTATTACATGATTCTATATCTCAAAACACAAGCCACAAGCCTTCATTTCATTAAGTATGTAATAAACAGAGCCGGCTGTTTTATTGTAGGGATTTTCACTTGCATACTCCTCCTCTCTTTTCGAGCTTTCTGGGGGGGAAATGGGTCTTTCCCCCAAAACTGCCTTGCAGCAGAATATTGCTGGACTTAAGTTTAGGCCCATTTTTCTTTACCTCACTGTGCAATTTGTGAGAACAACCCTGAACTCCACCCAACATTGCAGGCATGCAAGGGGAGGGAGAGTCTGAGATGCTGGTGGGACTTATTCTGTGCATGTGTAGGGAAAAACACAGGGTGGTCCTGGGCCATGATTAGCGTGGAGACAGCCACAGATGTTTTTTTTGGCAAGGCCTCAAGTGGCTTTACATCAGTGTTGCAACCAACATACTTCCCCCGCTACTATCTTGCAACACTGTACTCTAGGCAAGCAGGTGGTGGGGGTTGAAGCAGGCACTTCTTCCCCTCTCCCTTGGAGCTGTTCTGCTTTCAAGGCCCCCAAATCTGGCTCTGCCAGAAAGGAATGAATTCGGATAAAAATCTAGGTCAGACAGCCACGAAACCAAATAAGGAAAGGAAAACCCCAAATCAAGAAGGAATGCAAACACCTGGAAAACAATGGTGCAAGGATGGCGAGTCTTTGGAGTGCAGAGCACGTGGGGATGCCTCCCCCTACAAAGCATGACACCGCAGAGCTGGCTCAACCACCAGGCCCAGTCCATGCCATGGGGTGAGGGGGAGGGAGTGTCATACATTGCTTATATTCTCACCGCATCCCAGGAGAGGCCCCAGAGGCTAAGCGTACAGGCTGGCCCGTGCCTCTGGTCCAAGGTCCGTATCCTGGAGTAAATTTGTGCAGCAGTGCATTGATGAACCTCATTCGGCCTCCCGATGCACTTCTGAAGCATCTGCTCGGCAGATGGGGCATGTGCGGTTTGCCTGCAACGATGAATGAAAGCATGACTTCGGATATGGCCTTTTGGCCAACCTCACCTATTGGAAAATTCCCAGCAATTCCACTAAAAGGACTTCTCTGCTTTGAGGGCTGCCGGTTTCAGAATTACTAAGCTGAAATGTAGTCACCTCCCTTCTGAAGAGAAAGTCATAAGTCCAAGCAATTCCAATAAGCAACCCAATAGCATTCATCAAAATATTCAGTCTACAATGAATCAATTCAATTCATTCATCCAACTGGTACTGGTACTCAAAAGAATATGTATTGTATGTGCAGATAGTCATTGACCCTAACTGGGACCAGAATTTCTGTTGCTAAGCAAAGTGGTTGTGAAACATCATGTGACAGCACCACTTAGCAATGGCAGCTCCGGTATTTCTAGTTGCGGTTATGAGATGAGGATTGTACTGTTATTAGGTGAGGACCACATGCTTCTCCTACCCTATACAGACTTCCGGTTCTGACCTGCTGTATGCTCCCTGGCTGTGCCTGGCAAATTCCCTTTGGCAGATGATGCTGTTTCCATACCATACTTGTCTCTCCTTCAACTCTCCCCACTCGCCTATCTCCCTCCCACCCTTTGCCCTTCAGGCCATCCTGCAGAAGCGCAAGGTCTTGCCAGGAGTCAGCAGCTGCACTGCCGTTGGTTAGGCGCACCTCATCAACAACAGGAGGAACGTGAAGGCGAAACTCAGTTGGGGTTTGCAGAAGTAGGTTGCAGTGGCAGTGTGCAAGGCAGCCGAAGGGCAGAGGTGGGGGTGGGGGTGGGAAGGATAGGCAGATGGAGCGAATGCTGTGGTCGTAAATACAAATAGTCTGCAAACACCCAAATTTTGATCAAATGACCACGGGGTTCACTGCAACAGCGGTAACCAATTAGGAACTAGAATAATTTTTTCCCTATTTAAATTCTTAAATCATTGCATTCAGAGCAATCTGCATAATTTTAGGCACTTACTCTGTGAAAGGGAATCACGGAAGAGAAAAATGAGAATGAGAGCAAGAAAGGTGAAAGGATTTGGAGTTTTTATTAATGAAGGAAAAATGACAATTAAGGGTGAACTCTATAGAGAGTTATTCAAGAAGTCATTCAGGCTGTGAAAACACCTCGATGGAATATTTCTCTTTTTTCATATAATCCTAAAAGTCATAGTCACGTAATGAAGCTATCAAGAGAATTAGGTTCCTCAGAAGAAAATAAGTTTGTCAAATAACATGCAATGAGGATGTGCAAAGCATTCAAGAGGTGCTTTGCAACACATTGGAATGAGAATGAATTGCCTGCACTGGAACAGTTAAAGGCTCACCTAACTGCTTTAAAAGTTATCCCCCACTGTCTCCTCTTTGCTCACATGCAAAATTAGCATTACTGCAGAATTCTTCCGTTGACTGCACGGATATGCCTGTGTACTTTTATTGGCAACAATATCAAAGAGATTACTGTCCTCATCCTGGATAGTGTTTCATATTATCTACCCATGCTTTGCTCCCCTGCCCCATGTTTGAATACCAGTAAAAATTAGCTGAGACTACTAATTTACAATGTCTTATAAATAATCAGTTGTTAGATAATATTCTCATTCTAGCAAGTGGAAGTAGCTGGATTAAAGGAGCCACTATCCTATGACTGTCAGAAAAACGACATGGATGTATCTATGTTGTGAAACCAGGGAAGCCGTTTCCTTTACTGTCATTTTAGAAACCAACTGGACCCACTAAAGACAGGTAGTATCCAAATAACTTTTAATTGGCGACTGATTAATAAAGTCTCAATCAAGCCAGTGAATGTTACCTTTAACCATTTGTCGATGCACTTAGCATGGAATTCGTGGTTGCAGGGCAGAACTCGCAGCAGCTGCCTGATTTCGAAGTCACTGAAGCACACCACACACCTGGGAAGGGTGAAAAATCCAACCAGTGAGGTTGCAGGACAGCCCGAAGGCAGGGCATTCAGAAAATACTTCACAGTAAAGCAGCTTCGAGAACTTACAAGGTTTGCTCGGACTGATGGCTCTCTGGGTTAAAGCGGTAGGATGGAAGGTGCTCAATATCTGCTTTGGTGAGTCCCCGTGGCTTGGCCTCCCCTAATCTTTCAGCTAAATTCAGTAATGCCTGACAGAAAACAAAACGAAAGGAAGGAATACAAAGCAAGTGATTCCACTGCTGAGAATACCCCTTTAATCCTTTATAACAGGAGTTCTCAACCTTGGCCACTTTAAGACTTGTGGACTTCAACTCCCAGAATTCCTCAGCCAGCAAAGCTGGCTGAGGAATTCTGGGAGTTGAAGTCCACAAGTCTTAAAGTGGCCAAGGTTGAGAACCCCTGCTTTATAAGCAATGCGGTCTATAACTTCAGGAAAGGCAGAGAGATGAATCTTTCACCCTCAAAACTTTGAAGAAATAAAAGACAAATGAATTGTCTTTTACTGAAGTCTAACTCTCTGGAAACGTTAATCTTTCCTGACAACTCATTTTTATTCTGATTATCCATCCACCTTAGTTAGCTTTATCCTTTGCCTCTTTGTCTGGCTTTGCCCACTTTTAAAATGTCACCCTTAGTCCAAAATGCCATATAAACATTAAATGGACCTTCCATCAGAATTGTATTCCTCGGCCATAAGAAATGGCCCCAGAAAGGAAGAGTTATCTGCTGTACATTTGCTTTGCGTTCTCCAACTACTGCCGCTCCTTAAGTATAATCTCAGCTGTCTTCTCTCAGCTCTGGACTCGAGGGCAGAGCTGACAGGCGTGAAGTTTCTTGGATCTAATAATACAACTCAAGATCTATCAGCCAGAATTTGTTCCACACATACTATTACCACCAGCAGCAAGTACTAAAAGTCACAATTGAAGATATCTGAGTACCAGAACAGATAGGAGCTCATAATTCTTCCACTCCTGATGGAAAAGCATGTTGTCATTCCCTGTCCTTCAGCAGTTAACATCCTTGTTAGTCTGTTGTAAACCCCCCCCCATCATCCAAATCTTTCTGTCCAAGAGCCCTTTTCCATTCTAACAAATAACACAGAGAAACAAGCCTACCTCATAGTTTTCCATCTCTACGTCATCCACATCCAAGTCCAAACTTATTGTGGGCCCCACAGCTGTTGGCGATACAGGAAGCATTGAACTGCAATTTTTTAAAAAAATAAATAGCAGTGAAAAGACATGGAAATAACATGTGCGCCCATGGCACACCAAAACTGATGGAGGATATTGCTGGGGAAAGATGGTGGTCCATACTCCCCAGAGTGGCTATTAGGGAAAGCAGAGCTTTTAACTCTGCACACTTCTTCCAATGAAGGAGAATATTCAACTCAGGGTTCTCCTCACTGTTATCGCAGATACTCACAGAAAGTATGGCAGGAAGTTTGGGTAGTATGGCGGCGGAGGCGGCGGCGGGGGAGGCAGTGGTTGCTGTAATCTGTATCGCTGGGAATTCAGCCGCCGGGGCATCATATGTGGATATGGCTGTGGGAACATCACAAGCTTCGTCAGTGCTGTCTAATCCATAGACTCTGCATACGTTCCATGCCACGTGAAAAAAAGAATTAACATATTCTATCCAAGCAAAAGTTTGCACAAAGAAAAGCTGGGTCCTTTAGCATGATTTGTTATGCAAATCAAAAAAAAAGAACATGTTCTGCTCTTTTACTATGTTGCATCATTTATTCTTGTTGTCTTAGTAACAGAGAACAGAAAGAAGTTATGCAAAGCACTAGAAACCACATTCTCTGTCACTGGAATCTTAGTTGGCTACCTCTGTCACATCTAAAACATTACAGTATTATAAATCTATGCCATCTTAGGAAATTGCAAGCTAAAAGGAGAGGGGCAAAAGATAACAAGTGACCAGTCCTCAAAGTTCTGGTTGCCACAGTATCCCCATGGCACAGAATCACTTTCTGTGACCTTTCCTGTCGGCCTCTCACAAGAAAAGTCAATGGGGAATTCAGTAAAGAGTCACAAGTAGCTCTGGTAAATGCCAGCCACCTTCCTATGTTCGCACCCTGCATCCCCTGGTCTTCCTGCGCTTGCACCCTGATGCGCCATCCAGCTTTCCCGTGTTCACACATGGCCTCCACCCGGCCTTCCTTATCCCTCCTGTAGCATCCTCACACTCCTTACCTTCAACTCCCACGGATTTTCACCTAACGATGCACACGTGTCTTGGGGTTATGATGGCACAACCCAGACTGCCATTATAGCTGCGACTGTTGTTGCTCTGTGATGCAGTCACGTGACATTGCACTGCATGACCACCATCACTTAGCAATGGCAATGCTGAATGTAGCCCAAGGACTTCCAGTAAGAAAGGACATGGGGCCCATTCCCTGGGACGCCTGTCATACACCCTCTTGAAGGGAACGAGTGCCTTTTTCTCTATTATCCTTCCCACCCATTTTTGTTTTGTAGTATAACGGTGGAACATAAGACCGATCGAAGATAACACAGGCACTTGGTTAACATAGGAACGGATGGGCTTTTATTGAATTCAGATAGTCCTCGACTTATGACCATAATTGAGCCTAAAATTTCTGTTAAGTGAATCACTGCAGTTGGTAAGTTAGTAACCTGGTGATTAAGTGAATCTGCTTCCCCATTAATTTTGCTTGTCAGAGGGTCCCAAAAGGGGATCACATGTCCTTGGGACACAGCAATGGTCATAAATATGAACCAGTTGCCAAGCATCTGAATTTTGATCACATGATCATGGGGAGGCTGTAAAGGTCGTAACTGTGAAAAACGGTCGTAAGTCACATTTTTCAGTGTTGTAACGTCGAATGGTCATTAACGAACTTGTTGTAAGTCGAAGACTACCTGCATCTAAGGTTTTCAATGGGTTCACCTATTTCTATAAATTATAATCTCTACTGCAGACATGTCAAACACAAGCCCCCCTTGGGCGCGCGCACAGGAGGTAGCGCACGTGGGGGAAGGGGGCGGAGGTGCCCAGCAGCAGCTCCAACCTGCCAGTCCCTTGGCCACCCAGTGGCCTGAGCATCCCAGGATCTCACAACTCACAAGGCGCAAGTGGGTCCAAGCACTACGGCCGCTGGGCCGGCCAAGTTGGAGGCGGATGTAGAGGCATGGGGAGGGGAAGGCACGTGATCAGGCCTGCTGGAAGCGCCAGTTCCATCCTAGCCGCAGCAGGTGCAGGCAAGCAAAGACGGACGTCACTGTCACACCAGGCCCCCTGCCGTCCAATTCTGTCTTCCAGCTCTGCTGCACGAGGGACGAGCCTCCCGCCACGCACACCCAATGGTGGCCCCGGCAAACAGAGTCTCATCCCCCTCCACCCAAGACCCCTGGATCCCCCACAGCCCCGCCCAGCCCTCATAGGTGCCCCATGTGATGTCGAGCTGGCCACACCCACCCAGTCAGCCACGCCCACCTCCAAGGGCAACCACAATGCTGATGCGGCCCTCAGTGAAATCGAGTTTGACACCCCTGCTCTATTGCATCAACTGCCTTTTCTAGCCCCGACTTTACTCCTAGCCATGTCTCTCCGACAAGGGGAAATACTCTCAGGTCTAAAACTGAGCTTCCCTTAGATCTGCCTATCCATCTGCATCTTCTAAATCCCTCTCTAACTTTCCTTACTTTTCTGGAATATAACCTGGAAGGAGATGCCCAGTTTCTATCCTTCAGCAGTTCCCTCAACGAATCATCACACTGCTGTCACCCCACCCCACCCCACCCCTCTAGGGTATGATGGCTCTTGGGGGCCAAACAAAAGGGGTGTTGTTGTTTTTTTTAAGACACCCTCTTCTACCTGGCTCAGAGGCCACAGAGAACAGCTTTTTCTTTAACATGGCACTTACCACTCCAAACGACAGTTCTGGGTGAAGTGGGTCATGCGTGTGGGGAAGATACAATGGTACAGAGGGAGACAAGGCAGGAGTATGATGGGAAGGAGAATATGAGAAGCCCCCCATTGAGTGCTGTTCACCCCGAAGCTCCACCTCGTTTTCTATCCTCTGAAGTGGCTGTGGGAAGAGAATATACATTGTGCATTGGCAACTGCTCCCCGATATGTCTGAAGAGCGAGAAGCAACTAGAACTGGAACCAAAAGATGGCAATGGTGCTGGCTCTTGCATACCATCAATAAGATACTTTACCATTTACTGTACCTGCACAAGATTAATTTGTTGAACTAATATATAAAATCAGGGAAGAAGCCATTTAAGCCACCAAGTCTAACTCTCTACTCAGGAACCTTTTCCTAACATTCAAGTGGAATGGATTTTCTTGTAATGTAAATCTATTATTCCATGTGCTGTACACTCTGGAATGAGAGGGAACAGGTCCTGATCCCCCCCTCCATTCTTCCTACTCTCCCTTGCTCAACTAAGTTTTACCCAGTTGTCACAAGTAACGAGCCAAAAACAGCTGGTTCTTTTGTGCCTTCCTGTGTTATCTGCAGGAAAAAGGGAGCAACAAAGTAAGTCATATTTCCTAGAACAGTGATGGCGAACCTTTTAGAGACTGAGTGCCCAAACTGCAACCCAAAACCCACTTATGCATCGTCGGGTGCCGGGTGGGTGTGGCCCATTGGCTGAGTGCTGCCAATTGGGTGGGCGTGGCCAATTAGGTGGGCGTGGCCACAGTGGTAAGGGCAGACTGGGTGGGACTAAAAAGTTCAATCAATCAATTCCAACTTTGCAAGATCTTTTTTTTTCCCGTGAGAAGTTGAAATTGACTGATTGAACTTTTTTTTTTTGTGCACGTGGCGGCGGCAGCCTAAAGCGAAAAGGTTTTATAAAACCCAGCTGAAAGCCTAGGACTGGGGTGACAGCACACGTGTCCACAGACCAAACTGCATCTTCTCTGTTCTGTAGGGATTGACCACTGTATTCCATAGGACCTGAAGGCTCACAGCTTCTTTCTGCAGTTAAGATCTGAAAGCCGCTTCTGAGTTGCAAGATGAAAAATATCTTCTAAATCTTCTTTTTACTCTTGGCCGATTCCTTTGATTATCTTCCTTAGGGAAGAAGGCTTATTCTGTGAGCTTCTAGTGTCTTTTTCATCTTTCTAATTAACCAAACTATGGCTACTCACTGCTCCAATCATCTCACATTTTCTTCGTGCTTTGCTCCAAGTTTCTCTCCCTTTCTCTTCTTTCTTTCTTTCTTTCTTTCTTTCTTTCTTTCTTTCTTTCTTTCTTTCTTTCTTTCTTTCTTTCTCTTTCTCTCTCTCTTCTCCCCCCCTCTAGATTTATATGGCCATCCAATACACAAGAGGGATTCTGGGCAATTTACATTTCAAAGGAATTAATTATTAGAATGTAATATGAAAAAAATAATAAAACTGGACCATAAAATACAGTATCATTAATAACAGTAACAACAGAAGAAAGAAGCTAAGGAGCACATATCTTATTCAATGGTCTGACAATATACATAGGCTGATCCTATGTCTGGTCGAATGCTTGGGGGAAGAACCAGGCTTTTAGGGTCTTTGTGGGAGTACATAAAGGCTGAGGCAATTTAAGCCTCAGGGGAAATGATGTTCCAGAAGTGCAAAAAATAAAGACACACTGCTGGACCCCAGGAGCAACACTATTTCGTGGAAGGGACCCAAAGCATTTCCACTCTGCTAGATCTCACAGGTAAGCAAAGACAATTGGAGCCAGGCAGTTCCCCAAGTAACCCTGCCTTGTGCCACAAAGAGCTTTACAGATAACAACACATTGCATCAAAAAGCTCTTAGGAAGTCAGTGCAATTTTCAAAGCATGTTGTGGTTTGGGTACACAGAGGTGTTTCCATAATTATTTGTGCTTCTGCATTCTGAACCAATTTCAACTTTTGGTTTTCAAGAGTAGCCCCACGTCAAGGACTCTGCAGTCCTTTAGACAAGAAATGACTATGATGTGAGTGACCATGTGCAAGTGCTACAAGATATTTCCTTTGAAGAGTCATTCCAAGATTTTAGGAAATCAGTAGATGGTATGCTACAAGTTTCTGCACAACAGTAGATGCCAGGAGCAGGGAAATAAGAGTACAAATGCTTCTGATCAAATTTATGCCATCTCGAGAAACTTACCATGCGAGGATGCTGTGGCTGGAGAGGGACAAACTGGCCGAGGGCTGTCATATGTGGAGGCTGGTGTGGTGGCACAGGTGGTGGAGGGTGCAGGATATAATGATCACTGGAAATGAGTGGTGGGAATGTTTGATAAGAGACATGGAGTTGCTGCATGGCACAGGCCTGGATCAGCTGTAAGATGAAAACAGAAAGACAGTGTCTTCAAAAGAAAACTACTTTCAGTGCATTTAGGATCAACATGTCTACCTGAAAAACAACTGACCTCAGCCTGGCAATAAAAAGGAAAGAATCCATTTGGCAGCAAAATGCCATCTCCAAAGACCAGCAAGGACCTAAAGGCCTTTAAATGGAAATCGAGTTATTTATTCTCTCCAATAGAACAGAATATATGTAACTCAAGAGTTGAACTGTGGAGTCCTTGATACACTCCGAGTCTGATTGCTTGCTTGCAGATGATTCATTACACAACTAGGTAACATCATCAATGCAAGCATGGCATTTCTTCCTGGTTTTATGTACAGTAAAACCCCCAGCTTGATGGGGGTGTTGTTTTCTTTTTGGAGTTCCTTGATTATTGTTCTGTGCTTATTTCTCTGATGTTAGTCCCTGATTACCTGGGTGTTGGTTGCTGGAAAGGCATGCCCTGGTCTTTTTGGTTCCTCCTTAGCTTTTTTTTATAGGTAGCCCCTGACTTACAACCATTCTTTTAACAACAGTGTGGAATTATAATAGCCTTGGTGGTTCATGACTGTTGCAAAATGTTGCCCCAATCCCCCCACATAGTCACATCATCACAATCTGAGTGCTTGGCAACCTGTTCACACTTACAATTGGTTGCCAAGTACCCCACAATCATATGAATATCATTTGAGATCTTCTCTGCTCTTCTTACTCTCCAGAAAGTCAATGGGGAGGCCAGAGGGGAAGATTGCAAGCTGCTACTTCCTGCCATGATGACTCCTTCTTCTTTCAGGAGGCTAGCTGAAAGAGCTGTCTGCTAAAAGAGTTCATCTTACACTGTATATTATTTATGCCTCTTGTTGTTTTTTTTCCTTTGGGGGCTACTTGATCTTTTGCTTATTTAAGATGTCTTGGAGGGCTTTGCTTGGTTTCTTTAGTTGGTTTAACTGGATTCCACAGAGAAAATTAGGAACAGACATCCTCAAAATCCAGTTCTATCCATGAAGGTCATGACCAACATCTTGATTTGCACCCAGAAGCCAGTACAGCTCAAAAGTAAAGAGGAAGTAATGGTGTATATCATGGTGGTACCAAGGCATGCACATAACTACCTGCAGAGCCAAATTCTGGACTAGCTGCAGCTTCTATGTGCTCTTCACTCTACACATGTAGAGTGTTTTGCAATTATCCAATGGGAAGTGACTAAGACCCAACTGACTGAGCAGAACCTCACATTCCAGGAGCAGGCACAACTGGTGCACAAAATGAATTTGAGAAAAACCTCTACTGGCAGTGGCTATCACCCCAGCCACCTTTTCCTTACTCCCAAAAGCGAAGTTGGAATCTTCCTCCCAAAGGGGAACTTGGAAACTCAACATGAATTATTCAGTGTTACTGGGTCGAGTAATGGTTCTTGAGTAGCTGGGTTGGGAGAACCACAGGTTCCTTAAATACAAACAAGACCACCCCTTCATTCAAAGATGAGTTAACCACCACCTCCTGGATAATCATAACCAAACTAAAGGACATGGATATAATATCAAGGTGACCGAATTTACAATTCCAAGGACTCTGTATAATTCTTCAGGTTAACAGCTCAAAGCTTTCCCAGGTAGCACATGATCAAGCCTCAGTCAACATAACCAAAGTTTTGTTTGGCAACTTAATCTGTCAGATGCCTTGAATACTCCTCACAGTGGCCCTGCCTTTAGGAAGGTCTGGATCATGATGAACAGGGCTGCTGGCTAGCTATCTGCAGATGTACTAAGAGCAGAAAAATAATTACATGTTGCTGCTCCTAATGGACACAAGGTAATCCTTCATAAACACTCTTACCCTGTTTTTTATGTTTTCAATAGTGCTATGGGTACTGTTGTCATTTCGTCTCCTGCAACTCTGTTGAAAAACCAGAGGGCATCACAGGATCTACAAGCAGTGAGGGGACGTATAGATGCAACCCAATCTATGGTCAGCATTGTACTCTTATACCAAGCAGTGACCAAGATCTGTCTATGCATCATAGAGCCTCAGGAACAACCCCAAACTCCCTCTGCATCAGGAAACAGCCATGGAAAACTTCAAAGCAACTAGAATGTGATCAGACTATGGCAGGGATCTGATTTGACCATTCGGATCATATTGCCAGTGTCCCAAGATGAAAATTAGACTAAGCATGTGACTTTTTCTATACGTCAGGCCCTTAATTATTTGGGTTAAGTCCATAGTTGTCATGAACCCCCACCCCATGTTCAAACGTATTGATAATTCACACCAGGTCATCCTCTCATCCATAATTATTTCCTGCTCTTCTTAAGCCAAAGGACTCACAGGCGGTGGGAGGCAGCAGAGTGGATAGTGCTGTCCACTGAACATCACTGAGCATGCTGGGAGCTGCTGCGCACTGCAGCCAGGTATGTGCTGGCCAGCGTGAATGGGGAAGCCTTGTGTTGTTACTGTAGTCACCGTGTAGGAGAGAGGGACAGCTCCCTGATGCACCTGGAAGGGAAGGTGACGTAAAGCATAATCAAATCACATCCAAAGTATTTTATACTTTTCCACTCATCTTTTTAATATATGACAGAACAGATCTGATACTAAGCAATAATAAAAAAGGAAGTGCTAGTCATATGCAAACTATAAAAGGAAGTGATTTCAAACCAGCACAAACACCAGAAAATAAAGATGAAGCATTAGGGATAAGAAATCAAAGGCATATAAATCTGGTTACAAGTTTCAGATAACCACAACATAGAATCATAAAACAATTCAAGTGTTCATGATCCAAAAATTGCAATTGTTAATGGGAAAAACTCTCTTGAAAAGTATTCCCAGATTGTCATGGTTATATTTCTGAGTCTAAACCACCGCTACCCAGCTTTCTCTGGTAAACAACAATCCAGTTTTTTCTCTATTTGTAAATTGTATATCCTGCATTTTCACTATTCTTTAACAAGCTAAAGTATCCTAATAACAATCCCTCTCCAGGATGCTTTGTTGTCTTTTCCGAAAGCAGTACTTTTAAACTTTATTTCATATACATTGCTTAGATAGTTGCTTATTTGGTTTCCTTTTATGTATAAACAATACCCATGAAAGGTTTATATTTCAGACACAGGAGGCTCAAAAGCGAACAGCAGCCAACCTGGAATCACTCTTCTCTTTTTTTAAAAAAACATTTTCCCATGTTATTCTATTAGTTTAACAAGTTTTTATTCTGGAGCATTAAATTAACTGCATAGTCTAAAAAGTGTTAAAACATTTCCTGTCTTGTCAAACATGCTATTGGCCTAGAGCAGGGGTAGGCAACCTCGGCTCTTTTATGATTCATGGACTTCAACTCCCAGAATTCCTGAGTCAGCATACCATAGCTGACTCAGGAATTCTGGGAGTTGAAGTCCATGAGTCATAAAAGAGCCGAGGTTGCCTACCCCTGGCCTAGAGATTCAGGCCGCTAGAGAAACAATCTCTATTTTTTAAAAAAATTGTTTGATGTTGGGAATTTAAAGTAGCTAATCCAGTGTACAACAACGGTATGCTACCAATTTGCTGAAAAAAGATGCCAGTCAGCCAAGAGACTAATCAGTACCAGTCAACACATTTCTGGTAGCAAGGCCAGAAACATATTTGTGTGAAAGAAATTTAGTCTATAGAATATTGAGCAGAAATGAGAAGCACAAAGTTCATCAGATGCAGTTGTTGGATTACAGCTTCCATAATTGTTGGCTGCCATGGAAGTGTCTGAAGTCCAGCAATATCTGCAAACCAATGGATTCTTAAGAGACCTATCCTCCTGCTATCTGCAAGGACTATTTGATGCTGTCTTACCAAGGGAAGGAGAAGCAAGATTAACTGGGCAGAAGCCTAACTGGAAAGTCAGAAGTCAAGGGCCTGGACCTGCTGGAAGTTTCAGAATTCCAGGAGCAGCTGTGTACACGTTGCCATAGGAACAACATTCCCACAATTATAGCAGTCACATAGGTGCAGATTCACTGCTCAAAGAACACAGATTTTAAAGGGCCCTAAAGGCTTTTCCCATAATGTCTGCATGCCTCAGATACTGAATGCACGTGACACTGATTATGATTCCACTCCCTCCACTCTGGCTGCTTCAGCTTTTATAAAAAAATATATGCTGGATTCTGATGCTTATTTTTAAAAAGTCTAAACAATGCCTTCAGCATGAAATGGATTTCTGGCATCACATTTTAAATCCCTACAATATTACATGAAACAATGTAATAAAAATGAGAGGGGAAAAAAACTATTTAATCACCCTTACATATATTGTTTTAAGATAGCATCATAGGCTACCTGGCAAACATCCAAATAATTATAAAGTGTTGGTATATTCCTCTTTTTGTGAAGAAAAATTCAATCTTAAAGGCTGGGTAATTTTGATCTCACAATGGTCCTAATAGCCGATACAGAAACTTGCATTGCTTTTTGCATTCCATCACTAGCAGCAAAAAGGGGAAATTCTGTGAATGAAATCAGGAAAATGCACCTCAGGGTTTCAAGCAGAAGTGGTTCCCAACCAAAAGTTGTGAATCTTTCAACTGAAGTTACTAAGGAATCAGCTTAAGATTGTTACCCGTACAAAAGGGGCGTTGGTCTTACCTGAACGCCATTTCTCAGCATGATGATGGATAATCCACTTGATTGGGTTTCCTGAAGTCCCTTGTACCCAATAAGACTAAGTCTGCGATGGCCACGCCTCCTGCCTGGCCGCACATGCCCAGTTCAGACGGAGGCGAAAGCAACAGACAAAGTCAGGCGTGTTGTTCTCCAGACCCCTANAATGGAAATCGAGTTATTTATTCTCTCCAATAGAACAGAATATATGTAACTCAAGAGTTGAACTGTGGAGTCCTTGATACACTCCGAGTCTGATTGCTTGCTTGCAGATGATTCATTACACAACTAGGTAACATCATCAATGCAAGCATGGCATTTCTTCCTGGTTTTATGTACAGTAAAACCCCCAGCTTGATGGGGGGGGTGTTTTCTTTTTGGAGTTCCTTGATTATTGTTCTGTGCTTATTTCTCTGATGTTAGTCCCTGCTTACCTGGGTGTTGGTTGCTGGAAAGGCATGTCCTGGTCTTTTTGGTTCCTCCTTAGCTTTTTTTTACAGGTAGCCCCTGACTTACAACCATTCTTTTAACAACAGTGTGGAATTATAATAGCCTTAGTGGTTCATGACTGTTGCAAAATGTTGCCCCAATCCCCCCACATAGTCACAGCATCACAAACTGAGTGATTGGCAACCTGTTCACACTTACAATTGGTTGCCAAGTACCCCACAATCATATAAATATCATTTGCGATCTTCTCTGCTGGTTTCCCCAGAAAGTAAATGGGGAAGCCAGAGGAGAAGATTGCAAGCTGCTACTTCCTGCCATGATGACTCCTTCTTCTTTCAGGAGGCTAGCTGAAAGAGCTGTCTGCTAAAAGAGTTCATCTTACACTGTATATTATTTATGCCTCTTGTTTTTTTTTCCTTTGGGGGCTACTTGATCTTTTGCTTATTTAAGATGTCTTGGAGGGCTTTGCTTGGTTTCTTTAGTTGGTTTAACTGGATTCCACAGAGAAAATTAGGAACAGACATCCTCAAAATCCAGTTCTATCCATGAAGGTCATGAACAACATCTTGATTTGCACCCAGAAGCCAGTACAGCTCACAAAGTAGTGATGAAGTAATGGTGTATCATGGTGGTACCAAGGCATGCACATAACTACCTGCAGAGCCAAATTCTGGACTAGCTGCAGCTTCTATGTGCTCTTCACTCTACACATGTAGAGTGTTTTGCAATTATCCAATGGGAAGTGACTAAGACCCAACTGACTGAGCAGAACTTCACATTCAGGAGCAGGCACAACTGGTGCACAAAATGAATTTGAGAAAAACCTCTACTGGCAGTGGCTATCACCCCAGCCACCTTTTCCTTCCTCCCAAAAGCAAAGTTGGAATCTTCCTCCCAAAGGGGAACTTGGAAACTCAACATGAATTATTCAGTGTTACTGGGTCGAGTAATGGTTCTTGAGTAGCTGGGTTGGGAGAACCACAGGTTCCTTAAATACAAACAAGACCACCCCTTCATTCAAAGATGAGTTAACCACCACCTCCTGGATAATCATAACCAAACTAAAGGACATGGATATAATATCAAGGTGACCGAATTTACAATTCCAAGGACTCTGTATAATTCTTCAGGTTAACAGGCTCAAAGCTTTCCCAGGTAGCACATGATCAAGCCTCAGTCAACATAACCAAAGTTTTGTTTGGCAACTTAATCTGTCAGATGCCTTGAATACTCCTCACAGTGGCCCTGCCTTTAGGATGGTCTGGATCATGATGAACAGGGCTGCTGGCTAGCTATCTGCAGATGTACTAAGAGCAGAAAAATAATTACATGTTGCTGCTCCTAATGGACACAAGGTAATCCTTCATAAACACTCTTACCCTGTTTTTTATGTTTTCAATAGTGCTATGGGTACCTGTTCTGTCATTTCATCTCCTGCAACTCCTTTGAAAAACCAGAGGGCATCACAAGATCTACAAGCAGTGAGGGGATGTATAGATGCAACCCAATCTCTGGTCAGCATTGTACTCTTATACCAAGCAGTGACCAAGATCTGTCTATGCATCATAGAGCCTCAGGAACAACCCCAAACTCCCTCTGCATCAGGAAACAGCCATGGAAAACTTCAAAGCAACTAGAATGTGATCAGACTATGGCAGGGATCTGATTTGACCATTCGGATCATATTGCCAGTGTCCCAAGATGAAAATTAGACTAAGCATGTGACTTTTTCTATACGTCAGGCCCTTAATTATTTGGGTTAAGTCCATAGTTGTCATGAACCCCCACCCCATGTTCAAACGTATTGATAATTCACACCAGGTCATCCTCGCATCCATAATTATTTCCTGCTCTTCTTAAGCCAAAGGACTCACAGGCGGTGGGAGGCAGCAGAGTGGATAGTGCTGTCCACTGAACATCACTGAGCATGCTGGGAGCTGCTGCGCACTGCAGCCAGGTATGTGCTGGCCAGCGTGAATGGGGAAGCCTTGTGTTGTTACTGTGGTCACCGTGTAGGAGAGAGGGACAGCTCCCTGATGCACCTGGAAGGGAAGGTGAGATAAAGCATAATCAAATCACACCCAAAGTATTTTATACTTTCCAACTCATCTTTTTAATATATGACAGAACAGATCTGATACTAAGCAATAATAAAAAAGGAAGTGCTAGTCATATGCAAACTATAAAAGGAAGTGATTTCAAACCAGCACAAACACCAGAAAATAAAGATGAAGCATTAGGGATAAGAAATCAAAGGCATATAAATCTGGTTACAAGTTTCAGATAACCACAACATAGAATCATAAAACAATTCAAGTGTTCATGATCCAAAAATTGCAATTGTTAATGGGAAAAACTCTCTTGAAAAATATTCCCAGATTGTCATGGTTATATTTCTGAGTCTAAACCACCACTACCCAGCTTTCTCTGGTAAACAACAATCCAGTTTTTTCCCTATTTGTAAATTGTATATCCTGCATTTTCACTATTCTTTAACAAGCTAAAGTATCCTAATAACAATCCCTCTCCAGGATGCTTTGTTGTCTTTTCCGAAAGCAGTACTTTTAAACTTTATTTCATATACATTGCTTAGATAGTTGCTTACTTGGTCTCCTTTTATGTATAAACAATACCCATGAAAGGTTTATATTTCAGACACACGAGGCTCAAAAGCAAACAGCAGCACAACCTGGAATCACTCTTCTCTTTTTCTTGAAAACATTTTCCCACATTATTCCATTAGTTTAACAAGTTTTTATGCTGGAGCATTAAATTAACTGCATAGTCTAAAAAGTGTTAAAACATTTCCTGTCTTGTCAAACATGCTATTGGCCTACAGCAGGGGTAGGCAACCTCGGCTCTTTTATGATTCATGGACTTCAACTCCCAGAATTCCTGAGTCAGCATACCATAGCTGACTCAGGAATTCTGGGAGTTGAAGTCCATGAGTCATAAAAGAGCCGAGGTTGCCTACCCCTGGCCTAGAGATTCAGGCCGCTAGAGAAACAATCTCTATTTTTTAAAAAAATTGTTTGATGTTGGGAATTTAAAGTAGCTAATCCAGTGTACAACAACGGTATGCTGCCAATTTGCTGAAAAAAGATGCCAGTCAGCCAAGAGACTAATCAGTACCAGTCAACACATTTCTGGTAGCAAGGCCAGAAACATATTTGTGTGAAAGAAATTTAGTCTATAGAGTATTGAGCAGAAATGAGAAGCACAAAGTTCATCAGATGCAGTTGTTGGATTACAGCTTCCATAATTGTTGGCTGCCATGGAAGTGTCTGAAGTCCAGCAATATCTGCAAACCAATGGATTCTTAAGAGACCTATCCTCCTGCTATCTGCAAGGACTATTTGATGCTGTCTTACCAAGGGAAGGAGAAGCAAGATTAACTGGGCAGAAGCCTAACTGGAAAGTCAGAAGTCAAGGGCCTGGACCTGCTGGAAGTTTCAGAATTCCAGGAGAAGCTGTGTACACATTGTCATAGGAACAACATTCCCACAATTATAGCAGTCACATAGGTGCAGATTCACTGCTCAAAGAACACAGATTTTAAAGGGCCCTAAAGGCTTTTCCCATGTCTGCATGCCTCAGATACTGAATGCACGTGACACTGATTGATTATGATTCCACTCCCTCCGCTCTGGCTGCTTCAGCTTTTATAAAAAAAAATATGCTGGATTCTGATCCTTATTTTTAAAAAAGTGTAAACAATGCCTTCAGCCTGAAATGGATTTCTGGCATCACATTTTAAATCCCTACAATATTACATGAAACAATGTAATAAAAATGAGAGGGGAAAAAAACTATTTAATCACCCTTACATATATTGTTTTAAGATAGCATCATAGGCAACCTGGCAAACATCCAGAGAATTATAAAATGTTTGTATATTCCTCTTTTTGCGAAGAAAAAAATCAATCTCGAAGGCTGGATAATTTTGACCTCACAATGGTCCTAATAGCCGATATAGAAACTTGCATTGCTTTTTGCATTCCATCACTAGCAGCAAAAAGGGGAAATTCTATGAATGAAATCAGGAAAATGCACCTCAGGGTTTCAAGCAGAAGTGGTTCCCAACCAAAAGTTGTGAATCTTTCAACTGAAGTTACTAAGGAATCAGCTTAAGATTGTTACCCGTACAAAAGCATGCTCTTTCCTATGACATTACAAGTTCTCTCATCACCTGCAACTAAAACAGCCAGGCAACTAAACAGCGCGTGCTGTACTTATGAGCAGTTTTATGTCCCCCACGTGTTCCTGGCACTGCCCTTCTTTCAGTCAGAAACTGGATCCAATAACTGCTATATCTTAAACAGACTTGCACTTTTATTAGTTATACAGCCTTTCACAGGCAAAAGCTTTCAAAGGATGCTCAGCCTTGGCTATCTCCAACCACACCATTTGCCTTTTCAGTGTATAAGAACCGTTTATTCTCCCCGGTTTTACTATCCTTGACCAACACAGACTCTTCCAAATGTTAGCCAACGTTTCTATGGTAGGCGGGACAATATCCCAGCCATAGGTTTCTAAGTGTATTTAGGACACAACATCCACCTTACCTGGTCATGGAGATCCACCATGAATGGATGCTGGTGGGATGTGTGTGCCGCTGGGTGAAGCATTCGTGGTGGCGTGGTGGCCAGAACATACGCTGGGTGCTCATCTACAGAGACTTGTGGCTGTGGCTGCTGCTGC